TGCTGCATGTCGTACCCGGAGGATTTAAATTAAGACCTAACGCCAAAGAGTTTGCCATTCGTGTCATCTGCTGAGAACTGACGGATGCTTTATCCGATGCTTCTGACCAGTTATTGCAATAGTCAGCGTACGCCAGTACTTCACTGTTTCTCCCGTTCGACGGATCAAGAGTATCAAACTCAGTTGTAGAAAACGATAACGTCCCGTTTCCTAAAAATCAGGCTTCGCCATTTGACAGCTTAATCTGGTTCGGATAAGCCATAATTTACTGTTTAAAACTTCCAGCGCTACTAAATTGATAACAAATAACCAACATGGCGTCTTCAAGGGATGAGGTTCCTTTTTAACCAACGATATTCGTAATACGCTTTTGAACAGCAGTTTTTTCCTATCAGGGTAAGGCTGTTGAAATTCGTATTCTACAGCGCTTTTGAAAGCTCGCATGTCGAAAACCTAAAATTTAAGCGTAATGCAGTTTTCCAAACCGCAAAGAATATTTTTAAATTTATTCACTTTATTATGCATGACATTTACCTTCACCGCTTGATGAACTTCCAACCTCCCTTTTATTTTTAGTACATCAGCACCTAATGAGTGAAGGTCTGGATACTCAGTGCCTTCTACGATGACCGGAGAGTATCCGCACCGTTTTGCTAAAATGTTGCCCTGGTTGTCTATTCGTAAGGTTACCCCCTGCAACAAAGAGTACAGAGAAGTGCATTGTGTCACTGGTTCTACTTACGGCTGCAATCTTGCTTCGGATCTCTTCCGTTTCTTCGTCCCTGTAAGGGTTATCGAACAAATTGAAACCAATCCTATTTCCGTCGGTTGACGCGTATTAGGCAGTGCATAGCAGCTTCAGCCTTACCTCTGACCGTCGAACTCTTCGTAGCTGCCATCGATCGACACCGAAGAAGTTCGCAGGTAGGCTTTGGCAATTCTCCTGTTTCTTTCCATCAGAATTATCTTGCCCCATATCTCGTCATCCAGTTCAGATAATTTTTCGTTGATCTCTTGAATATGTTCCTGAAATTGTGCCGCTTACATACTTGTACTATTAACGCTTTTAACTTTTTAGAATGCTCCTTAAGAAAACAGTCCTTCGGGAATATCTTGCGTAAGGCGTTCAATCGCAACAGCAAAATGACTTGCCTCTATTAAAACGGCGATATTCCTGTTCTAAGAATAGTAGATAATGACGTTCCATGCTGAGAGAAAGAACCTCTCATAGTTGTTTGCTTTGGTAGACAAGAATCAGTATTTCGCTCCTGCCACTTAACTAGAACTGTTAGAAGCAAGCGAAGGTTTAGTACGGTTTGCGACAAGGTCCGCCAACCATTAGTTAGTGAATCTGTAGTTTTGCTCAGTGTCTGGTCGCCCAAAATTAAATTAAGCATTAAAACCCTTCCGCAATCACAAATTCAACACTTTCAATACAGACTGTAAACTTTCATTGAGAAATTGTGGCGCATCTAGATAGAAGGATATAGAACGCCTAGATTCAGAAAAAGCGCTAAACTCAAAAAACCACTGCTGATATACACAGTGACATTTAAAGAGAAAGGCAAATGAGCTGTCATACACTGATGGCCATAGCTCACAGAGAATTTGTCAGTCAGAATTTGAAACACTGTACTAGTCGCTTGATTAATGCAACTAAAGACGCAACAAGTTATTTTACTCTTTTAACGAGTTACTATGACTTGGAATCATGTAATTTTGGCTTTTGCTCGCCACGTTTACTCGTACCTCATGCAGAGGTCTCGAAACTGTGCCGTTCAGCAATCGCAAATTCACGACCTTCAACCGAAACGTTGAGCTGTGCGTTAATGTGCACTGCTGAATAGACCGGGCCACAGAGAGAGTGATTCGGTGCCAAATTCGTCACGTTGCAATCTAACAAGAAAGCAAACAAGCAGTCGTAGACTCATGTGGAAAGCTTACAACAGATTTGACTCAATCGCCATGCGACGTCACGATCGTGTTGCTTGTGACTTCATGTTTGCCATCGACTAAACTACTACGTCTTGTTTGTTCTGCTTACTTAACTTTTTGTTATTTGCTGTGCTGCGCATATTGATCTTGCACCAAATTCCAGAGCAAGCACGTTTAGTTTTCCAAATTCCTATAAATTCCTCACCACTTTCGTTGTGATTGTCGATTTCAGGAAGCAGCAGGATTTCAACCAGTTCATGTCAGTAAAGGTAATGCAAAATCACCGAAATTCGTCTCTTCTCCACCACTCTCGGGTGACTTTTAAATGTAGGTATCGATAAGTAACATTTGACATTGTAAAGCGATTATTCGCAGACATCGACTGGAACAAGGGTAGATTTGAGTCTAAAATTTAAATCCTATTTCTGGGCTAAATTAGCTGAATCAGGAAATCGAATTTCTATCAAGACTATTATAATCGAAACGAAAACAATGCCGGTTCGTTTGACACTGCGGTTAACAGTGTGTACGTAGAATCAAGTGGTTGAAGAAATCGTTGTCAAAGTTATGAAGCGAAATTTGTGCGCATTCAGCTTCCAGAAGATGGAGTTTTAGGCTGAAATCAAACCTTTTAGGACACCAGATTACTTCATAGCCAACCATATCTTATACTCAGAAATTATTCAACATTCACTGACACCCATGTCGTGGATGTGCTATAAAAATACCCTCAATAATCAACCTTCAGCTGATCCTCTGTTTGAGGTAAGTAAGGCCAGTGTGAATTTTAAGTTAATTTAC